CCCCAAAACCCCAAAACCCCAAAACCCCAAAACCCCTTTGTAATTGATTCAACGAGTATAGCAAAAAGTTATAAAAGTTATTGAATTTTAAAATATAAATTAAAGATGCTTTCAGTGAATTACAGCTTAAGTTGCACAACCTTTGATCCTAAGGGTAAAATCTTACAAGTATGATTACATTTATCCATCTTAAACATTTTAATGAAGATTGAGTATGCGAAGGAGGCAGTCAAGCAAGGTTCAACCTCACTAGGGCTTAAATCAGACAGAAATGTGGTATGTAGGGGATTTTAATGTCACTTAACCAAAATTTATAATCATATTTTCTGCCATTTCAAATATCTTGCTTGATACTTATTTGCATTTTATAGGTTCTTGTCTCATTAAAGAAGAGTCCACATGACCTCGCAAGTCATCAAGAGAAGATCTTCGATATTGATGATCATATGGGTATTGCCATTGCAGGTTTAACTGCAGATGCTCGCTATCTTTGCAAATTCATGAGAAGTGAATGCTTAAATTATTGGTACACTCATGACAGCCATCATCCAACTGAGAGACTTGTCAATAAAATTGCCAAGAAGGCTCAGGTCAAGACCAGTCATCCCGGAAAGAGACCATTTGGAGTTGGATTACTCGTAGGATCTGTAGATGAGACTGGAACTCACTTATTCGAGACTTGCCCTTCAGGAAACTACTACGAATATATTGCAATGGCCATTGGTGCTAGATCTCAATCAGCAAAGACCTATTTGGAAAAGAATTACGAGCTATTCGCCAGTCTTGGCTGGGAAGAACTTGCTAAGCATGGTCTTAGAGCCCTCAAGGCAAGTGCTTAGGAAACTGAATTAACAGAGCATAACGTGAGTGTTGGATTTGTTGGAGCTGATCAAAAGTTTAGACTCCTTACAGCAGAAGAACTTAGATCTTACCTTGCAGAGATTAATGTAAGTATTAAGAATTTAACAACAAATTTTAGGATTCAATGGAGATTGCATGATATGTTTGATGTCGTTAGTTATGTTTAATTGCAATAAATATCATAAAGTTACATAAAATATAATCTCAAACCCCCTTATATAACGTAAAATATTGTTTAAAAGATTTAGAGAAATTTAAACATTTCAAGTTATTAAACTGAATTATACTAATATCATCATTTCTTGCCTTTATTTTTATCTTTATCAGCTTCTACGTAATCTGGATTCTTCCTTAAGATAACGAAATTCTCCATAAAGGGTGACTCTGTTATATATTCCTCGGAACCTAGCTCAGCTCTTTCACCGTGCCCGATTAGAACTGGAGTATCATGAGTCTAGAAGCCAGTGATAGTCTTTGGTCTTCCTGCTGCTCCAACTGTGTCAACAGCATTACCAACTCTTACTGAAGTTTGAATTGGTTCAAGATTCTCATTTAATGTGATAAGCATTCTTGGGTAAATAGATAGCACTAGGTAGTAAAGGAAGAAGTGGTATTTTCCATTGATGAATGTCTTCATATCAGTTGCAGCATATAGAACAGTCAAAAGACCAGCTAATGAAACATTTGAGAACAAGAATTTCTCAGAATGGAGTGGATTTAAGCCCATCAGTCCCTTTCCAAGATGGACTAAACCTTAGGCAATTCTTACTACAAATAATTGATCAGCATTGTTTGCGTAGTAAGCTGCAAGATATCTTAAATTTCCAGCAAGCTTTGAATTATTTGTACCAGCTCCGATGAGTCCAAGAGCGAATATTGAACTCATTGAGACATTCACGTCAGAATCATAACTCAGCTTTGTCAATAAATCCATGGAGTTTACATCAGGATTTGAAATTCTCAAAAGACCAATAGCGAGAGGTACAGTTCTCTTGATGATTGGTTCACCATACTAAAGAAGATGATTCATAGTTCTAAGGCACATTTCTTGTCCAATATCTTCGCCGAATGCTACTAAAGCAAGACCAATCACAGCAGCGATTTAGTGAAGAGCATCTTTTTCTTCTTTCTTATGTTCAGCACACAAATGTAATAGCTTTTACACTTTAAGAACATTTCCTGATCCTGCAAATGCGCAAGTTTCAACTACAAGGCTTAAAAATTCCGAGAATTATTTGCTTGGGATAACAGATGTAGCAAGTAAAGTACCCTCAGCAAGATCTTGTTAACCAAGATAAAGTAATCCGAGACCAAGAGCAAATACTCTGGTAAATGGATTCTCAAGATCCTTTTCCTCCTTCTCCATAAGAGTTTAGAGAATTGATTAGGCTGCATCTTCATCGCAAGTTCCAGTGTAGATTAAACCAATTGCAAGTGCTGCAACTGCTTATAATTCAGTTGTATTTGATGAGTCTAGAACTATTGGGGATATTGCCTCAAGAAGGTCTGCTCTTGCACTGCCAGCATATGCGATTGAAAGTCCCATTAATGCACCAATCTTGTGAATCTGTTTTGGGCTTTCAAGTTTTTCATAGAGAATAGCAAAAACTGGATCCATTTCATTCTTGATACCAGAGTTAACAATACCAAGAGCAATATAACTTCCAGCTACAATATAATCATCAGATGCATCTGTATATTTATCAATTTGTGAGAATCCCTCATCAATATCCCATAGTAGAATCATTCCTAAACTAGCAGCTGCAGCTTGCATACCTCCTTCTTTGTTCTTATAAATCCAGCTTTCCTTTGTGTCAGCTACAGTCATGAGTAAATCTTTTCCATATCCAGCATTAACGAATGCATTCACATAGGTAGCAGCTAAATTTTACTTTGCACTATCAATATGCTGAGCTACGTTAGTTTTTCTCTCCTCCAAATGAGTTTTGAAAATTTGATCTGGGTGTTTTGGTTCAAGAACATCTAGATCTCTAGCAAGAGATTTGAAGTGTTCACTAAGTTTCTCATTTGAGATGATTCTTTAGAGTTCTTCGTTATTGCTGGCTTCGTGTGGATTTCTCTATCTTCCAAGCATGAAAGCCAATTATTTCAATGTAATTGGATCTTTGGTAGTCTCCATAACTTCCTTAATCATATTCATATCATTGACTTTCTAAGCAACTCTCAATGCCTAGGGATACTTCTTTTCCTTAACATAAATGTTAAAGGCAGTTCTATATGCTTTGTTCATCTCTTCTGGATCAGCTGCATATTAAGCGCAGCTAAGAAGATATAAGCATACTCTTTCATAGTTTGAATCATTTGTGAATTTAACTAATCTCTCTAGATTTTCAACTTCCATCAATAGATCAACTGCCTCTGGTTCTTCATGATTCTTCATAAAGAGTGGAATGATAACATCGACTAATTCCATTAAATCTCTAGAATCAGATTGCCCATCAATTCTTTTGCTGTACTCATTACCGATTTCCCCAGCCAATGATCTCAAATATTCATGTCCCCATTCAATTAGGTTGCCCTTGGTACCCTCTAAACAATATTTAATACTTTCGAATGATCCCTCTACTGATGCTACCATAGCCACAACTGAAACTAAATCAGACAATTAAGTCTAAGAGAAATTTGGTTAATCATGAATCAATTGGGAATGAAATACCTTAAATTCTGAATTTGGTTAATTTGCATGAGCTTCCTTAATGTTTGGATAGAGTGGAGTAAGGAACTTCAATGGTTTGGGAACTGAAGTCATAGTAGCTGTAGATCCAGTAATTTCTTATCTCAGTTACTGTAAAGCATGCTTTCTTTGTGCAAGGTCAGGGTCATTGAGACGGCCAACACAAATCTCAATTTTTTCCTTGAGTTGCTTATCTTCCTCATTCTATTATAAAATTACTCAATATTTTCAAATAATTTCATACAAGTTCTTCTTCCTTTGGTATCAGATCATCTTTCTTTTTTTGACCAGCCTTATCAGCACTATCCTTGTTATCTTTACCTGCAGCGGCTTGTTCTGATTTCTTTTGTTATTCTGACATTATTTTATCGATTTGACTTATTTAAAATTTTAAATATTTCTAATTTTCAGGTATACATCTACAGGGGTTTTGGGGTTTTGGGGTTTTGGGG